GGGCCGCAACAATGCCATGCGTGGGCCGCAACAATGCCATGCGTGGGCCGCAACAATGCCATGCGTGGGCCGCAACAATGCCATGCGTGGGCCGCAACAAGTGGGCCGCAACAATGCCATGCGTGGGCCGCAACAATGCCATGCGTGGGCCGCAACAATGCCATGCGTGGGCCGCAACAATGCCATGCGTGGGCCGCAACAATGCCATGCGTGGGCCGCAACAATGCCATGCGTGGGCCGCAACAATGCCATGCGTGGGCCGCAACAATGCCATGCGTGGGCCGCAACAATGCCACAAACACCAAAGCTTACGCAATAACTGTACTGTAGGTTTTATTATTTTACAAAAACTAATTGTAATTAAACTAGAGTTATATAAAAGAATATTTGAATTATGTATAATATTATCAATTCATACATGGTATAAATACAAAGAGAAATGAAACTGTAATATACAATAACATGCTTTCATTTATATTTCTAACAGTTCTACCTCGTGCTCATTATTGTGTTGATACTTGAAGTGGTGGTTTTCATTGTAGCAATTGTTTTCACCCAGCAGGTATGTACTCATGGAGTTAATATATTAATCATTTTTCACACTTTCAGTGTTATGCATAAATTTGAACTCAAAAACAGGACAAACAAATATCGTCATAATGGCATAAAAAACAAAAACATGTTGGATTGAAAAAAATATACCAGTAGTATTTTTGTGTATTTTACATGCTTAATACCGGATTCTGTCGTAAATTCGCCCTGGGTCGTTAAATGGCAGTTTTGGTTTAAAAAAATAAAATAGGACCAAGACATCCCCCAGGGCGATTTTTCGGCAGTTTTTAAATTTGTTTTTTTAAAATATTTTGGCGTCATTTTTCGGACATTTCAATCTTTCCTGATGCCTTAAATTAATTGATTAATTAAAGTTTTTGTTAGTCCCCGTTCGGGCGTAGTCCGAAAACGGGGACTTATGTTTTGCCCTGTGTGCGTCCGTGTGTCCGTGCATCCGTGCGTCAGTGCGTCCGTGATCACCTGTATTTCGAACATGCATGGAAGGAATTAAGTTCAAACTTCACTGATACATCACACATTATATGGGACATATGCACATGCATTTTTTTCATGATCCGATTAACGATAGCCATTTTAAGATCGAAAATGCATCAAAATCGCACATTTTCACCATTCCGGACCCGGTACATACATTAAACATAATAGGACCTTGATGCACGTCTTTTTTTTTTGGGATCGGGTTTGAAATGGCCGACTGGCGGCCATTTTGTTTTAAAGAATTCAGTTCTGGATCTGTATCTGAAACATGCCTGGATTGATCGAGTTCAAACTCCACACACACAAGGTACATCATGTCACAAATATGTATGTGCATTTGTTTCATGATCTCATTAACGATAGGCAAATGGCGGCCGCTTTAAGGCCGAAAATGCATTGAAACCGCACATTTTCACCATTCTAGACCCGGATCTCAGTTATGCATGGACAGATTTTGTTCAAATTTGGTGCATACATTAAACATAATAGGACCTTGATGCACGTCATTTTTTTTGTGGATAAAGTTCGAAATGGCCCACTGGCGGCCATTTTGTTTTAAAGAATTCAGTTCTGGATCCGTATCCGGGACATGTCTGGATTGATCGAGTTCAAACTTCACACACACATGGTACATCGTGTCACAAATAGATATGTACATTTGTTTCATGATCCGCTTAACAATAGCTGAATGATGGCCATTTTAAGGCCGAAAATGCATCAAAATCACGTATTTTCACAATTCAGGAACCAGATCTCAGTCATGCATGGATGGATTTTGTTCAGATTTAGTACAATGTGTTGTACATATGCAGGTGCATTTCGGATCAGACCATTGAAAGTGGTCTGAGATTTCGGTCATGATCTGCTTTGAATGTTTATGTCACTCAAATATGAACGGAACGGGGATGTGTCATTGACAATGACTTGTTCAAGAGTATGTTTATTGTGACTAGCATGAATGGGTAAGCTTCATTTCGACAATGAGCTGTTATCACTGTAAACAATGTTAAATTATTCATCTAATGCTCAGTTTATCTTTTGAAAATAACTATTTTTTGATTCAAAATCCAAGCCAAAAGATTGTACTAAAACATCGGCAAATCTCTTCCGCGTTGCGTTCAATAACATTAACATATTTAAATGAGCTATGGTAATTTGAACACATTGGTATCATCTGTCATTTTAATTGGTTAATTAACTATTTGACCTATTAGGTCAAAGAACATCGTCCCAGGTCAAAACATGGTAGATATTCCCCAGCATCGAGCGACTAATATACGACCGGAATCATTCGCTTATGATGAAACTAAGTTGAAATTTATTTGCATTTCATAACAATTCAACCAATTCATTTTTTGTACGTTATTTTTTATCACTACTAAGTAAAAATCAACAATTGTGAAACGCATCATGACGAAACTGTGCTACCGCGATCATTTGATACTAACCAATACAGTTATGTTTGTTTTTATTTGAAACTTCTTTATAGAATTTACTCTTACATTACTAATAAAACTAAAAAAAATAATTGTATTTGGTTCGTTAATGTGATTTTTTTGGAGAAAGATGACACTGAGTGACATTGTATTGAAATTTTAGGCGGTCTACTTTTTAATTCAGCAAAAAAAAAATGTATCAAATTTTAGATTAGCTTCTGCAATAGTTTCTTTCGTCTTGGGTGGCCCAACTACCGGCGTTGAAAGTCAGCATAGTTGGATTTATCAATGAAAATAGAAGTCCCCAAAAAATATTTCATGATTATTTTTTGAAATTTTGAACCCCAGGGCGATTTACGGCAGAATCCTGTAATTTGATAATGATCAAATTAGATGGAATAATCTAGCCAGTGTTATCCACAAGGGGTTTTGGAGGGGCTAGCCACCCCTCAATAATTCATTCTTGCCCCACTTTGATAGTGCACCTCTAATTTTAGAGCCCTTCTTTGTTTTGAAAAGACAGCTGTTTCAATCAGGTCTTTGAAGATGCCCTGGCTAAGTTATATTGAGGACCTCCAGAATACAGTACAAAACAAAGAACTAGGTGCCAGACTTTTGACAGGGCCATTTTCACAATGAATTATTTGAAATCTGAGAATTCAACAAAACAATGGCAAGATTTGTGAAGTACGTGATCTGCACAAGCATTGCAGTTATCTTGCCAGTCTGTAACACAGTAAGCTGATAATTTATTATATATGACAAATATATGAGCAGATATTAAATTCAAACATCCATGCTCCAAAACCCCATAAGCCCACAATGCTCCAAAACCCCATAAGCCCACAATGCTCCAAAACCCCATAAGCTCACAACAATCATTAATACTAGTTTCTGTCTAATCTGCCCGCACTTCACAATAAAAAAATAGGGACACATTTTTTTAGTTGCTGAAAATCATCCCTCAAAATAAAATATCTGACATTGACACATATGCATCAGGAAATTCAACTTTGAAATCAAATCATTTACTACATGATCATGAGATCTCGTAATCATTCACTAATTGTTTTATTGTACCATGCATTTGTGGGATTGCATTATGTATTTGTGGGAATGCACCATGCAACTGTGGGATTGCACCATGCTACTGTGGGATTGTACCATTCTACTGTGGGATTGTACCATTCTACTGTGGGATTGTACCATGCAACTGTGGGATTGTACCATGCTACTGTGGGATTGCACCATGCAACTTTGGGATTGTACCATGCTACTGTGGGATTGCACCATGCAACTGTGGGATTGTACCATGCAACTGTGGGATTGTACCATGCTACTGTGGGATTGCACCATGCAACTGTGGGATTGTACCATGCAACTGTGGGATTGTACCATGCTACTGTGGGATTGTACCATGCTACTGTGGGATTGCACCATGCAACTGTGGGATTGCCCCATGAAACTGGGATTTCACAATGCAACTTTGGTATTGCACCATGCAACTGTGGGATTGCCCCATGAAACTGTGGGATTTCACCATGCTACTGTGGGATTGCTTTATGTATTTGTGGGATTTCACCATGCTACTGTGCGATTGCACCATTCTGCTGTGGGATTGCACCATGCAACTGTGAGATTGCACCATGCAACTGTGGGATTTCACCATGCTACTGTGGGATTGCACCATGCAACTGTGGGATTTCACCATGCTACTGTGGGATTTCACCATGCTACTGTGGGAATGCACCATGCTACTGTGGGAATGCACCATGCCACTCTGGGATTGCACCATGCAACTGTGGGATTGCACCATGCAACTGTGGGATTGCGCCATGCAACTGTGGGATTGCGCCATGCAACTGTGGGATTGCGCCATGCAACTGTGGGATTGCCCATGCTACTGTGGGATTGTACCATTCTACTGTGGGATTGTACCATGCAACTGTGGGATTGTACCATGCTACTGTGGGATTGCACCATGCAACTGTGGGATTGTACCATGCTACTGTGGGATTGCACCATGCACTGTGGGATTG